CGTGCAGGGAATTGTCACTTCGCTGTGATTCTTTGCCGGACTCGAAGGCCTTGTCAACAGTTACACTCGTTTTACATCTCTCAAGTGCTACATCCATGCATGCACACGGCCAGCTACTTGTCCACATATCGTTTTGCTTATTGGTTTGTCAACGCGTCTTTCTCAAGTACCACTGCGTCACCCTAAACACGACAGCCGGACGTCCTATACGGCTTGTAGTCTGCATGGAATGTGGGGTTTGGCTGCAGGTGCTGTCTATCGACAACTACGGAGGCATGGAAAGCCGCCGAGGTTTTCTATCGTCGGATGTGAGGTTCAGTGAGTTGGAGTGAAATCGGGTTGGAAGGCTGTAAGACAGATGGATTTGGAGACTTTTGGGTTCGGCGCAGCGCCTGGACACCTTTGCGGGATCGCCTTTGAGAGCGTATGCAGCTTGAAGGCTGACTTGCAGACCCGCAGATTAAGACTGGGGTTAACGTTGGACTCTTTCGAGCAATACCCAGTCAAGTCCGCGTGTGTAGGCTGAGGACATCAAGCAGAGAAGCAGGGCTTGTGCAAGCAGCCGTAGCCATGGCGCGACAGGAGAGTCAGGTTAGCAAAGGAATCAAGGAATGGCAGCTGGGAGTTTTGCGGTGAAGCGGTATCTTCTGGGGATCTTCAAGGAATGTCTTATAGCCCCTCTTGCAAGCCGACGAGGAGTATACGACGATGACGAGCGTGTCAGGGGTAGGAAGTGTGAACTGTCGAAGAGTTTCTGACCACATCCCAGATTCAGCAGGGTTGGCAGTCCTGAAGCCTTGAGGGGGGATAAAGTGTGGGTCTTGCAAACCCAGGTTTGAGAGGTCGCCAGGATATTGAGATCTGAGCTGAGCGGTATCTATCCCACGTGCCCGCTGCTGCAGACGCCGAAATCCAGATCTAGTTCGAGAAAGGCACAAGACCCTGGCCGCGAAGGCCAGGTGTTTGCAGGGCCATTGTAGGCCTTGTAGAGGTGTTGCTGGTTTTGTAAAGCAAAGACGCTAGACCCTAGACCTTGAACCCGAAGCCCCAAACCCTAACTAAGGTCTCGGATACTTCGCAACCTCAAACCTCACACTCCTATTGCCTGTCTACCCACACATGCAGAACCACCCGACAAGGAACCTCGCCATGCCTCGGAATGGTTTTCCTGTTCAGAGTCGTTCCGGCAGCCTCGTGGGATTCGCTGCGCTCTGCATCATGTGGAGAAGGATCAGACATCTGACAATCGTCGCCACCTAAGCCCTAAACCCTCAACGCAACTCAAGTTCGTTCGCTTCGAAGCGTTGGACAAGCTCGTCGAACCAGAAACTGGCAGTAAGGGTCCTGGTGCCAGCAAAAGGGTGAGGCCCCACCGCCCCGAAATCTGAACCTGGCAAGGCTCCGAGGTCTTCTCGGGCGCGCGCCCGGCGAAGTGAAATGCCGGGTGCGCAAAAACCGCCTCAGCTGTCCCTTGTAGGTGGCTGATGGATGCCCGGCATTGTGCATATTTAGGTTGACCGTACTGAGAGGTCAGGCTGGGCTCTCACCGTGAGGAGCAGGAATAGCAGCACCAGCATGAGGATCCCAGCCTTGCTGTGCCTGCAGAGGTACTGCATCCCAAGATCCTTGTTGCCAAAGCCTTCGGAACTTGTTCATTTCTGTGGTTTCGGGCTTCAGTAACTCTCAAGTTGTTCATGAACTCAGAGCTGGTAGCTTGCTGATCCGCCAGAGTCCAGTCATAAAGCTTGGCTACCAAGTAAGCCATTCTGCAGCACGCCCCTGCCAAGCAGCGGAGTGCGCTTTCGTCGATGAGCCGGATAAAGAATGTGAGCGAATAGCTGCAAGGGAGTCCAACCAGAGACTAGATGTAGCGAAAGCATGTAGGGCAGCAACGTAACGCCGAACATCATTTGTTCATTTGTTCACCCATTCCTCCCTCCATCCATCCCTCCATCCCTTCATCCCTTCATCCCT